TCTGTAAGTTGTGGTGGATAGAAGACTTCATTAGCTACAACTTTCATGAAGGAATTCCTTCATGAAAGCAAGGATCGTGCATCCGAGGTGAGAAAGCAAGGAGGCTACTGCCAGCCATACACGATCGTGTGTGGAAGGGGACGCACGATCGTGCGTGCACCCGAAACGCGGATTTCAGCCCCGTTTTAGTCCCAGTTCAGCCCAAACTAATCTGTTTTCTATAAATAAGGCATCCCTTCTCCTGTTTAAGAGTTACGAACATTACGGAGAGGCCCATGGACGAAATTACTTGCGTTTTTTTTATCATTGTTTAATGACAATTATTTCTATTCATCCTAATTCTGTTGATTCTTCAATTATGAATTGTGAGTAGTTTAATTAGGGATTTGGGGTTGATGAAGGGGTTGATCATGATGTATGGCTAGATTCTTGATGGTTTAATTGCATGAATGTCTTTTACTTTGTGTTTGAGTAATTTAATTGATATCTCTTGTAACCTAGACTGCAGCTACAATTACAATTGTGAGTAGTTTAATTAGGGATTTGGGGTTGATGAAGGGGTTGATCATGATGCATGCATGACTAGATTCTTGATGGTTTAATTGCATGAATGTCGTTTACTTTGTGTTTGAGTAATTTAATTGATATTTCTTGTAACCTAGACTGCAGCTAGAATTACAATTGCACGTAGAATGAATTAAGAGAGATCTAATTTGTTCTAGGACACATTCACACACACTTAATCGTTCACTAAGAGATTAGTAGCGATTAAGGGGCCGTAAGCTCGCTCGTCTTGACAATAATTTAGGATTCCTGTCGCATGAGAGATTAGTCCGGTCTCCTAAATTATTGTACTCTACGCTGCGAGAGCGGTAAGAACTTAGTAATGATTAACTTAGTAATAATTAGGCCTTATCTGCCAGAAATCTGGTTACCCCGGAATCAATCCCTGTTCCCTTCGTCGCTAATTAGAGAGAAAACAAACTTTTATTTAATCGTTCATTCGCATTAGTTTAATTTCAAATCATCTCAGCCATTCATCCCGCACAATTGTTTTTTATTTTATTTTCTTTTTTTAATCGCTGAATTTAGTTAATTCTTATTTCCCTTTTGTCCGTCCCTGTGGAGACGATACTCGTACTTTTCACCACTATTCTACAATTTTTTTAAGTGCGAGAAAACTCACATCACCTCATTAAGGAGCCCACCCATGCTTTCTCAAAATTCAATATAGTGTATGTGTATAGTGATTTACAATTTAAGAATGTGCCATAATGTATGAAAAATTATCTGTAATTATGAGTTTTTTCCTGAAACAATGCTAATTAAATAAATAATTTTTAAAATACTATTGAATTAAAAATAATTTTTACAATACTGCTAGAGTTAATTATGGTTAATGAAAGCCCCCACTCGAAGTGGCGGCCCTTCTCTAATAGTACAAAAGCCGCCACTTCAAGTGACGACTCTTCTCTTACAGTACAAAAACTTCATTTGGAGTGATGGTTCTTCTCTTGCAGTACCACACCAACTTATTCAACCGAAAAAACACAAAAACCTGCTATTTATAGTCAATATAGTGCACTAAAAAACAAAACATACCTGACACACAAAACGAGTCAATGAACTACATTGGATCACAATACTAGAAATATCACATAAAGTTGATAATAAATCCAATGTTTCAAAAAATAATTCGATCAGCTAGTTCATGTTTAACACAATGATGTAAAGTACAAATATCAAAAGTCAACGTGATCATCATCATAAAGCTCATGTGGCTGTGCTTGTGCTTGATGTCGGGAGCGTTTGTGCTGATTGCTTGTGCCAGGCACAGAGATTGTTGGGAGTACGACCACAACCTGGGGCAGATATTCGGGGGTCCACCTTGAGGATGCCTTGGCTGAGACCACATTTTTCTGCTTTACCTGTTGATGCTGATGACGTTGTTGTGCAGCAGTACGCGACAGCCTACATATTGATGCTCATGGGAGCCTTTACATTTGCGGTCAAGAGCGGTAATGAGGTGCAAGTTCTTTATTACCCCTTCAGGAGACTTTTGATGTAGCAGTGCTATATAGTTGGGGAAGTGTGACCTTAGCATACCTATATCGGCAGTTGTGTCGAGGGCAGGTTGCCATTGTTGCGGTGGCGAGATGAGTGGTTTTTATTGCTCATATAGCTATGGTCGTGGGAGCACATCATATTGGTAGATTTGACATACTGCGATATTATGAGATAGATTTGACATTCATGGCGAGTATCCTTTGGGTTGTAGGTATGTTTATGAATTTTGTTTAATATTTATTTTATTTTACGTATGCCGTACTGGAATCCATTTAATATTCTTGTAAATCACTGTGTGTCAGATGGCTTTTTGTTGACGTCAGTTGCACGTCATCCGCTACCGAGTTAAGGTACTATCGATATGCATTAAATGACATGTGTGATGATCAGGTATACCCTGTATACCATTAAGTCTGACTACTTTGTTTTACATTTTTATAAACAATGATGTCATAATATTTTGTATTATAGATGACATGGATGTCATACACTCATGAGATTCTATGACAGGTGCCCTCTGTTGGCCGAGAGCACACTAAGACATGGCGAGCACATGTGCCCTTGATTTGTTTTGATGTAGAAGAGCATCATTTTCTTAATCGCGTACTACGACAGTTCAGGTTACAACAGGGTGCTCCCTTACCTTGTGATACTTCTGTGGACTTACACAAGATCGACGGACGAGGGAAGCACACAAAAGATTGGGGGATGCACCATATTCAGTATATCACCATGTGGGATGAGAGAGCGACGTATATAGTGGACAGGACCCCAAAAGATTGGGGGATGCACCATAGTCTCTGCAGATTACATGAGATGGTATCACACCATCACACATGTGTTCATCTCTCCCAGTTTTCGTCTACCCACCGGTCATTACTAGCCTAGCTAAGTCGTTCTTCATTTGACGGTACACAATATATTCACATGAACGACTTTATTTATTTATTTATTTATTTATTTATTTATTTATTTATTTATTTATTTATTTATTTATTTATTTATTTATTTATTTATTTATTTATTTATTTATTTATTTATTTATTTATTTATTTATTTATTTATTTATTTATTTATTTATTTATTTATTTATTTATTTATTTATTTATTTATTTATTTATTTATTTATTTATTTATTTATTTATTTATTTATTTATTTATTTATTTATTTATTTATTTATTTATTTATTTATTTATTTATTTATTTATTTATTTATTTATTTATTTATTTATTTATTTATTTATTTATTTATTTATTTATTTATTTATTTATTTATTTATTTATTTATTTATTTATTTATTTATTTATTTATTTATTTATTTATTTATTTATTTATTTATTTATTTACTTATTTACTTATTTACTTATTTACTTATTTATTTATTTATTTATTTATTTATTTATTTATTTATTTATTTATTTATTTATTTATTTATTTATTTACTTACTTATTCACTTATTTATTTATTTATTTATTTATTTATTTATTTATTTATTTATTTATTTATTTATTTATTTATTTATTTATTTATTTATTTATTTATTTATTTATTTATTTATTTATTTATTTATTTATTTATTTATTTATTTATTTATTTATTTATTTATTTATTTATTTATTTATTTATTTATTTATTTATTTATTTATTTATTTATTTATTTATTTATTTATTTATTTATTTATTTATTTATTTATTTATTTATTTATTTATTTATTTATTTATTTATTTATTTATTTATTTATTTATTTATTTATTTATTTATTTATTTATTTATTTATTTATTTATTTATTTATTTATTTGTTTATTTCTTTGTTTATTTATTTGTTTATTTATTTATTTATTTATTTACTTATTTATTTATTTATTTATTTGTTTATTTATTTGTTGGTTTATTTGTTGGTTTATTTATTTATTTATTTATTTATTTATTTATTTATTTATTTATTTATTTATTTATTTATTTATTTATTTATTTATTTATTTATTTATTTATTTATTTATTTATTTATTTATTTATTTATTTATTTATTTATTTATTTATTTATTTATTTATTTATTTATTTATTTATTTATTTATTTATTTATTTATTTATTTATTTATTTATTTATTTATTTATTTATTTATTTATTTATTTATTTATTTATTTATTTATTTATTTATTTATTTATTTATTTATTTATTTATTTATTTATTTATTTATTTATTTATTTATTTATTTATTTATTTATTTATTTATTTATTTATTTATTTATTTATTTATTTATTTATTTATTTATTAATTCATGTTGTATCACTAATAACCATTACAGACATGCGCTTTGCATACTATCCATGAATATGTGGCCGCTTCTCAGTATTCCACGACATCTACATCCACAGCAGGGTCTTCCCATGCACTACGACGTGATGGAGTGATTCTTCAGCCTCATAATCAGCGTAGACGCCCCCGACCTTAGGCACAAGCACATCCACATGAGGTTTATGATGATGATCACGTTGACTTGTGATATTTGTACTTTACATTATTGTTATAAACATGAACTAGCTGATCGAATTATTTTTTGAAATATTGGATTTGTTATCAATTTTATGTGATATTTCTAGTACTGTGATCAAATGTAGTTCATAGACTCGTTGTGTGTTTCAGATATATTTTGTTTTTTAGTGCTCTATATTGATTATAAATAGCAGTTGTTTGATGTTTTTGAGTTGATTGTATAATATTGAGCAAGTTTTTGTGTGTGTTTTTCAGTTGAATAAGCTAGTATGGTAACTACTGGGCCTTAGAGCCGCCACTCTAAGTGGCGGCTTTTGTACTATTAGAGAAGAGTTGTCACTCCAAGGTCTTATGTTTTAAACATTTGAGGAACAATTTTATCTATAAGTAGAACTAAAAGACTCATACTATCATATTTCTTTAACAATTCATCCATGGAGAAGAAACAACAAGACTCATTATTCACAAAACTACATGTATTTATCAATTATTCTTGTCATAGTAACACTCTTTGAATTCGGACATGGTGAAAATAAAAGAGATCAAGTCCGGATGCTAATGTCATTGCAGCATGCTAAAATGTATCCTCAACACTTCTTTGAGAATTCTAAGCCATGGGCAGAGGCAAATTTTACAGATGTAGACGAAGGAGTTGAAGATATGGAATCCTTTTCAGAAGTGGAGAGAAGAACAAAAGAAGAAGATCTTATTCTGGGCGGCCTTCCCGGGCAGCCTCCATCAAGTTTCAAGCAATATGGAGGCTATGTGAATGTGGACAAAAGGAATGGCAGAAGCCTTTTCTACTACTTTGTTGAATCTGTTGACAGTCCTGACACCAAGCCTCTTATTCTCTGGCTTAATGGAGGTGATCTTTTTTTTTGAGAGGAAATGGAAGTGATCTTTTAGTTCATAAAGTTTTCTTGATCACTTTAAGAACTTACTTCTGTTTTTTTAATTATTTGGTATTCTTTTCGTGATTTATGTGTTTTGAGAAAGTTGTTAGTAATATGAGAATTACAATTTTAACTTTAATTTTGGTTGTACACGTTATTGTTTTGTAACTTGATTGCAGATTTAGTCTCTAACCAACAATTCTTTGCAGTTTATTCATTCATTCATTCATTCATTCATTCATTCATTCATTCATTCATTCATTCATGTAAATGATAAAAATCTAAACATTCAAATTAATAGTCTTGACTAGGTACACCCAATTCACTGTGTATCTTTGAATTTAACCAAGCAGGTCCTGGTTGTTCATCACTTGGGATGGGTGCCTTTGTAGAGCTTGGACCTTTTGGCGTCAACCCTGATGGAAAAACCCTCTACCCTAGAAGATATGCGTGGAATAAAGGTACTCAAATATAAAATTTATTTAGAGAACATTCATTGAACTAGCACTCTTATTACTTAATCTGCCTACTTGAATATTTATTTCAAGGTAGTCATTTACTTGTTAATTGCAATGTTGTAGTTGCAAATGTGTTATTTCTGGAGTCACCTGCGGGGGTTGGTTTCTCTTATTCCAATACGTCCGCTGATTATGGAAAGTCGGGAGACAAGAAAACTGGTAAATACCGATATTGAGATTCATTCTAAAAAGTCAACTTTATAATCAAAGGACTTAATTAACACACATTTTTTCAATCTCCGTATATTTGTTTATTGAATTCTTAATTTGTGTGATAGCGCAAGATTCCTACAAGTTCATAGTAAATTGGTTCAAGAGATACCCACAATACAAGGCCAGAAGTTTATATATTGCTGGAGAAAGCTATGCAGGTAGCTTCCATCTTAAGGAAACCTTTTTTATTTAAGTTATTGTAAGGGAAAATCACACTTTTAGTCTCTGAAATAGTCACCATATTGAAGTGTCAGACTCGTGTTCCCCAGCTTGTAAATGTCACCCCTCAATTGTTCAAATTACTGTAAATGTGATCCTTTGAGGGGTGAAATGTACAATGTGGACGAATGGGCGATGGGTACATTTCACCCTTTAAAGGACCACATTTACAGCAATTGAGACAATTGAGGAGTGAAATTTACAATCTCATAAATACAGGTCTGACATATCAATATGATGACTATTTACAGGCCCGGCCTTGGGCAAGGGCAGGCTGGGCTTGTGCCCCGGGCCCAACATTTATAAAGACCCATAATTATATATACATATATAGAGGACAATTCATATCAGGTCGAGGCCATTTGAGGCCTTTTCCGGAGGAAGTTTTTGATGAAACTTTTTGAACATATTCTTCATTAAGTTTAGATTACATCCACAAAATTTAAGCTTAAATTTTAACCTGGAACTCAGTTAAATAAAATATTGAAACATATTGTGCTTTATAAATAATGCGCAGTATGTTTCAATAATTTATTTAGCTGACTTTCTGATTGAATTTTAATCTGAAATTTTGTGGTGATATTATAAATTTGATGAAGGATATGTTTAAAAAAATCCATCGGGAAGGACCACAAATAGCCTCAGCCTGACAGCATTCCCGTCTGGCCGGCCTAATTTCAAGGTTTCATCTTTAGATTTTAATTCGGTTCGATCAGTAATCAACACTCCTAATTTTCTCAAGAATATCTTCCAAATTTGAAGTTTCTGTTTAACATGTAATTTTGTAATTTCATTTTTTAAAATAATTTCATTCTTTTAGTTCATATAATTTAAGCTTTTGCAATATATTTATATAACCTTTTAAGTTTTTTTTTCAATCGCCCCAGGCCCATAAAATATCAGGACCGGCCCTGACTATTTAAGGGACTAAAAGTGCGATTTTCCCTTATTGTAAATGAAAAAGAAAAGTGGAAAAGTAACACATAAATAATCTTGTTATGGTTATGCCTGTTTAATAGGATTCTACATCCCAGAGCTTGCCGATTTAATTGTCAATAGGAATAACTTGCCCAAGACCACCTTAACGATCCAACTGAAGGGAATTATGGTAAAACCTTAACTACATATGAAGTACAACATTATAACTCTGCATAAAAAAATCTAAACCAATACTCTGTTTCTGTTTTTGTTTTTTAGTAGTACAACACTTAAAATTGACAATATTTTAGGAGTATTTTTGCTTTCAGTTGTACTACATAAATGACGAAGTCAGGGCCGGCTCAATAGATTAGGAGACCCGGTGCAAATCACGTAAAATAGGTCTTAAATTAAATAAATATAATAAAAGGTAGCCTTTAAAAAATAACCCAAAAAAGACTACAATCAAATGTGCCATTGAGATATAATCATATTTCAAACTTGAACAACCAAGATCGGTAAAAAAAAAAAACTAAAACCGAAAAGAAATGAATTAAAATCATGAACTAAAAAATATAGAATAGGATATTACTGAAAAAACTACTCCCTCCGTCCCTTAAAACCAAGCTCGTCCAAACTGTACGAGAAATTTGTGCTAATTACTATAATTGGGCCTTATCCAGGCCTTATGTAATAAAGAAGTTGCACATTTATAATCAGGGGCGGACCCAGGAAATTGATATTGGGGGGCGACAATTTAAACAAAAAAAATCTAGGCGATTATTATTATAAGTTATAACCTTAATATAATACGGAGTAGTAATTAAATGAAGCATTATAAATGGCGTTTGCGTTTTACTGCATAAGGAGACTTCATATTAGGAACTTCAATTTCATGCTTTGTGCAAAACTCTTTAACAATTTCTAAGAAGTTATCCCATCCACCCTTCCTTAACTTTTGGATCAACATTTTGGTGCTTGACACCAAATGCATAGCATTTACTATGTCTTGGCACTTCTTCTGTATATGCTGACATAGAAGATCTGTAATGCCCATAATTTCTTTAATAAGATGCAACAAGAAAACAAAATCAAAAGATTTAATCTTCTTAAGTTCTCTATCTGCATTTCCACGAGTAGAATAGTTATTGCCATTCTCTTCAACATCTTCTAAAACAGAACAAGTTGCAACAAACATCCTAATCAAACTGCAAACAGAACTGAATTGCGAGCTCCAACGAGTTTCCCCAGCTTATCGTAATGTACCAACCTAATTAAGTCCTCTACTTGTTTCAAGCTCACCAATTTCCAACATTCTTGCAATTTCAAGTGCTTGAGCTTCCTTTAATTCATCACTTCATTTGCAAGAAGAATTAGTCACATTAATAATAAAGACTGAATCGATGAAAAAATTGTGCACATATTTCACCTCTCTAGAAGCAGCAACCAATGTTAATTGCAACTGATGTGCTAAGTAATGAACATAGTAGGCATAAGGACAATCATTTAAAAATAATCGATCTTTCCGTTTCTTTCTTCTAGGTGCGCATATTTTTCATTAGTTTGGTTTGGGCTGTGGGCTGGGATTAGATTTTGGGGTGGGTTAATGGGGAATAAATTTTGGAGTGAGTTGATATAATATTACTTGTAAAATTTCTATTTTTTAGGCTCTTAAACAATTGGGTTTCTGCGAGTGGGCTATGCTTTGGGGGAGAAAATATTTTCTAGGGGGGTTCAAAATTTTTCTTGGAGGGGCGAGAATTAAATGTTGGGGGGGTAAAAATAAAATTTTTGTATATATATACACTACAAAAAATTGTTGGGGGGCGGCAGCCCCCCTGGGTCTGTACTACGGTCCGCCCCTGTTTATAATTAACAATTGCATTTTATTTACATATAAATATTAGTATTTAATGTTTGTATTTAAAAACAAAATACTAAAATAGGAATCTTTAATCAAATAAAAAAGGATTTTGTATATTATGTAGACTATATTTAAAATTTTGGGCCTTCTAAATTGAGAGGCCTTGTGTGGTAGCACTTCTTGCACGCTCTCATCTATGACCCTAGACTAAGTTATATCTATTTTTCATAAGGGTACCCTCAAAATCTGTCACATCATTTCTGCTGCATAGGCATGTGCATTTGATCACAAGTGCACACTTATGAATCGATTTGTGATATGAATATTTGGTTTCACATTGAGTTTTGTAAACTTAATTTTCAAGGACATTATTTTTACGCATTAGGTTGGGAATGGAATCATGAATGGGGACACGGATGCAAGAGGATTGTATGACTACATTTGGAGCCATGCCTTGATATCGGACGAAACTCACAGCGCGATGCTAGAGAATTGCCTTCCCAAACGAGGCAAGAAATGTAATCACATCGAAAGCGCGGCGGGAACAGAGATGGGAAGTTTAGATTTTTACAGCATCTATTCACCATTGTGTTTTGATTCCAAGAGTCCAAAGAAGGTAAAGAGGAATGCAGGATATGATCCTTGTGAAAGTGACTATGTTCATTCTTATCTCAATCTCCCTGCTGTACAAAAAGCCTTGCATGCCAATACCACTAAGCTTCCTTACACTTGGGAACTCTGCAGGTTCAATTCGATCATTGTGCTTCCCATTATGGCTAAATTGTTTTAAGGTTTCTATATAAATGTTTTGTTGTTATGGTTCTTGAAGTGATTTGATTCGAAGCTGGATATATGGACCCTCAACGATGTTCCCAATATATAGGAGGTTAATGGCAACTGGTCTCCAAATACTTCTTTTCAGGTAATTCACTTAACTCAATATCTTACATGTTGTCATGTTCACAACGTGCTAATCAGGTGCATGAATTGTGCTTGATAAAAAAAGAGTCGAGTTCAAAGTTTCAAACTGTAATCGAGTTTCAAGAGTCATGAAAATGTATAACTTAACTTCAGTGGAATTTGAGTTCGAGCTCGAGTTTTATCCTGACGAATGTTTGAGTTTTATCTATTCTAAAATGGTATATATATTTAAGCAAATGGTTTAATTTGCCTTTACATTTAAATGCGCATCTGCAATCACTAATAATCAGTGAAAAATAAAATAGATGTTGTAAAATTCTCCGCCTACTTGTTGATTGGACAATAGGGATTTCTAATACTCAAATGTATGAAATTGAAAAATCAATATCAATTTAAACGAGTAGTTTGCGAGCTTTTCGAGTTTGTTTTATATAACATGACTTGACTTGGTTGGGAGTTTGAATCGTATTTGAGTGTGAGTCAAGTTTGAATCGACTCAAGCTAGACGAGAATAAAAATTTAATCGGTTTTGAGTAGCACCCTACGGCCTGACATAGACATACTTCATCCATCCTGCTAAATTATCTCATTTTTTCGATCCATCTCACTAATATTGTCTCGTACAAAATTTGTTAGAATTTGTGTGAATTTAAATTATTCTTACTTTATTCTTACTTTATATATTCAATATCGACCACCTAAATCGATGTTTCTTAGTAATTGTACCACGCACCTCATCATTTCCTAATATCAATGAGACGGAAGTAGTACTTTTCCATGACCAGAAATCTTGTGAGGATTGTGAAATCCTATCTTTTTTGGATGATCTAGCAGCTATAGAGACACACAAGTCTCACATTCAACACATCATCTTGACTGTGAAACATTTGATAAAGAAGCATACCGTCTATATCATTATAACATGATATGAAAAATCAGTGTGATAGGAGTAGTCTTTATTTTTTAGTATAAAAAAATGTATTAGGCCTTGCCCACCCCATATTAAAAAATGTCTTTATTTTTAATATAAGAAATTCCAGGTAATTTTTTTAAAAAAATATTCCATATCGGTCAAGTTAATGATTGCTCACTCTACAGTGGCGACCAAGATGCGGTGGTTTCAGTGACTGCAACCCGGTATTCCCTCAAAGCTATGAACTTGACAGTGATAAAGCCTTGGCATCTATGGCAAGACGGCACCAAAGAAGTAGGCCTCAAATTAAATTAAACTCCTCTTTATTTGATGCTTCATTCCTATCACAAAACCAATGATTTAGCTTAAATTTAGTTTGATGGGTTGATGCTAATTTTCCAGGTTGGTGGATATAAGGTGGTTTATGATGGTTTAACATTCGCCACAGTTAGAGGAGCTGGGCATCAAGTTCCACAGTTTCAACCGCGTAGAGCTTTTGCCTTGCTTCAGATGTTCCTAGCCAACAATCACTACTAAGTTCATGGATCGATTTTCTTTGACAATAAGACAGGCTGAACCGAGACGGATCTTGTTCATTATTCATGTCGATAGCTACAAGCAACGAATCCGGACTACCATCTTGGCCAGATTATTTTCAGCATAATTAATTTCTTCTCCTTTTGTCACATAGCTGTACTTATTTATTCTAGCTCATATATATCCTTGATGATGATAATAACACAATTAGAAGAAGAAATGATTGTTGGTCAATTATTTTATAGTCAAACAAATGCTCTCTGTTGAGAAAAAAAAGCGACGTCACACAAAATGAAAAATGCTTGGTGTACACCTAGCACAACTCAAACAAAATTGAAAGAAAAAATACACCTTGTGCTTGAATTTTATACAATGTTAATTTGAGAAATTGAAAGGGATAATAGTGACACTCAAATAGGAGTAAGTAGATGTTAAATTGCATAAATAAGAGTACTGCTTTTAATCATGTACATATATAGGACTAAAAAGGAATAAATTTCCAAAAAGGACCATTGGACATTTAAAAATTATTGGACCGACAATCATAGTAATTGAGCCTCTTTTAAATGTTATTGGGCCAATCTTAATCTTATTGAGTTTTCAAGTGATATTGGGCCTATTATTAATTTTAACAATGGTTGATGGGCTTTAATTTATCAAAAGAAAATTAGTGATATGGACCCTTGTGATAAATTTAGTGATCAAGTAAATATGGGTTATCTCAAACATCCAATTAATTTACTATGCAATTGATATTTTAAAGACAGAGTTTCAAATCGTCTAACCTTTTCCTTAAGAATGTGATAGTGATGAGGGATTATATAAATAAATAAACAAGTTCTTTCCCTGAATCAATTTACAACTATATACCGCGCGACCCGAATACATATTATTGACACCTCATTTATTGTAAAAATATATTTTTTTTGTTGATATTGTGAAATAGTTTAATAATCTATACAATGATAATATCCTCTCTTGGTGGATTTTAAAAGCAGAGATTAAAACCATTATCATAATACAGCCAAACATATCCCATTTAGTGAAAATTAAAGCGTTGTTATCATTGCTAAAACGAAATGTTAGACAACTTTAATTCGTTAAAGATGAAGAGAATGATTGTATTACGACATTTACCAACAAACAAATAATTCTTGTTGGTTAATTTCGAAGTGTGTAGATACAAAAAAAAAGCCCAAACTGATAACTTGCTTGAGTCTTCTGATTGCCAGAAAATTTATGATATCTCTTTTATTGTCAACTTTTCAGTTGCAAACTTACGGTGTTGCAACTTGCAAGTTTGCTTCTTTCATGTACTGGTACTTGAAAGTCTAGTTATCTTTAAAAATTTATTTGAATGTCTTCTCGATTGAAGTTTTAGTTGAAATTTGGTATGAGTAAACTAGACTTAATGAATAAGATGCTAAAAAAAATGATCAAAAAATTCCACCGGGAACCGCCCAAATGGCGTCGGCCGGACAGAACCTCCTATATAAGGCTGGACAGAATTCAGCTTAAATTGAGTTGTGCCTGATAAAAAAAGAGTTGAGTTCAAACTCTAATCGAATTTCAAAAGAGTCGAAAATATATATAACTTCACTAGAGTTTGAGTTTGGAAAAAATGGCTCTAATATTACTAGAGACCTTTTGATTTCCTAATATAAGACCTTATTGTTTATATCCCAAAATACTACCTTATTTAATTAAAACGGTCATTTTTACCCGGTCAGTCGGTGACCCACGCCTAAATTATAGTTTCAATTCTCCCTCCTCATTAACGTCTTTCCCAGTGAACTACACTCCTACTTGGTAACTGCATCTCTCTTTATTTTAGATTTTTTTTTCCATTTCTGTTGCATCATTCCACTCTCCACCCGCAGCCGGTTGTCTCTCGTGAATGAAATGTCACCGCCTTCTACCTCTCGTCGCCGTTCCGGTGTTGAAGCCTCATGCAGTAAGTTTTCCTTGCTTGCGAACACGATTCCAGACTCTGCTCATAAATTTGATTTTGATTAAAGTTGGAGGATTTGCTATTCCTCCACCGAATGTTACTTCCCAATCCATTAGATATTATGTTTTTTGATTGGTAATCTACCGATGTAGAGAATTACAGTCTACCGATGTACCTAGTTTGTTACTTTATTTAAATTAACTTGTAGCTCAGTCTTGTTTGAATGTCATTATGATACTTTTATTAATACTAGTATTGTACCCGGCGGGAGAATTTTTTTTATTTTTAATTATGGTGAAATTAAATACATACGTAGTATAATTGAAATATTAATGTAAGACATATTTATTGTAAGAACATTAAAATACTTGTATGATGTAGTAAGATCACTATAATAGGTTTGAAGTACATTCAAAAAATTAAAAGAAAATTATGCTATGTAAGTGCTTAAACTAAGTGGGTACATAAAGCAAACATAGTGGAAATTGTACATTTTTTTAGAAACTTCCACATATATAATGACATTTATTGTGAAATTGTTTGAGAAGCCACATGTATTGCTTGTCAATATTTTCATCCTTCTCGCTTGGTAACATTTGAGAGAGCTGACTTTTGTTGATCATCATTCCATTTGATACCATTAGAGGGAATTTGCGTTGAAACGTAAAAGGCATTCTCACATATATTAAGGAGTCGAGTTCAACCTTGATAATGAATCCAAAAATGACTCCAAATTTGGCACCAAATAATACGATAGTATTTTTTTGTTCTATTCAAAATTGAATTACACATAATAAAAATAAAACAACTCTAATTGGACATGTATATCTATATTCCTTTAATCATCAAGGAAATATAAAACAAAAGTAAGAGTGAGTTGCATGTATGTGTATGAATTCTTGTTTTTTTAACTTAAAAAAACTATTTTTAAGTCCATAGAAGTTTACCCAAAAAAGTCCATAGAAGTTAACGTAAATAACATAAAACACATTGAATTAACAAATCACTTTTAATTACACACAGTATTCTAAACACAAATTTAAATAAAAATAACAGGGTTTGCGATACAAAACACAAACTTAAATAAAAAATAAAAGGGTTTGTGACACAAAACACAAATTTAAGGAAATCATCTATTCGCGTACAGGAATAGCTCAGTTATTGACACAAGTGAGAGGGTTCATAGGTAGGGGCTGGGATTACTATTATAATATCATCATCCGTATAAGTTCTTTTGCTTCCAGTAGGCCATATCCATTCATTGTGTCCTTGTCTGAAATATGATCAATCTGCTTTTCCTTTCTTTCCTTATCTTTCTCATTCCCCTTAATTAGTTAGATCAGATCGAAGCTTCCCCAAAGTGCTTTGAAGCAACGGCTTCAAATGCCCTGAGTTTTACAATGCATATAGCTATTCCGGTCCCCCTTCTTTGAACTAAACACATTACATTCTCAATCAAATTGGTTATTCACGGTTTTCATCATTTACGGGGCCGGGAATAAATCAAATGAAGTATAAACATATTTTTCTTATTCCCCTTAATTGCATGTGTACAGATATTAACCGATTATTGAACAAACGTTTTATATAATGACGTGTCAGACATTGTTCTTGGCGGGAACAGTTATTTGACACACGGTTCCATTGTTATATATATATAAAGATTAGGTTCATACTTATTTTGCTTGCAGCTAACATTGACAGTGACTTTGTCTCCACCCCTCCTACCTCTTCATCTAATGTTGTAAGTTAACTTTGCTATATAGAGGTACTAGTATTAAAGGTTATTTTACTTATTCATTCTAACCCCTGTTTTATGTCTACTTTTCCCAGCCACTTAATAGAGCTGTCAAGAAACAGATTGTCAATAAGGACACTACCAGGAGAGTTAACACCTTTTCTAGATTGTATGAGGTCATAAATCTTGTTCGATCAAAACTACTCCCTAAACAATTAGAACTTTTTAGTACTACAGTTTTTGGGAAGTTCTTAGATGCCAAGGAAATGCAATGTTCCGGTCAGCTATTACATTTTCTTATTGGAAACCTCGTTAAACATGGAAGCGATGATACTGTGGTAGGCGGCGTTTTGTACTTTGATATTGAGGACAGGTTGGTATCATTCACCATTTCTGACTTGGGTCATATTCTGGGGTTGAATGTGTCCGATAAGGTCCCTTCTTATCAGAATCTAGTCACTGATAGGGGTCGTGTTTGGCAGAAGTACTTTCCTTCTTGTGCAACTAGAGTCAAACGTAAAGATATTAAAAAAGTGTTCAAAGCTATCGAGAGGGGCAAGGAAGACGATAATGATATTGTTAGCTTGTCCCTGTTATATGTTTTATCCCATTCATTTTTAGCCGCGGAAGAAAAGGTTGCTGTCAACAGTATACACATTAACCTTGTAGATGACATTGACAAGTTTAATGCTTATCCATGGGGACGCGTGATTTGGGAGAACATGGTAGCCAAAGGCTACTGTCAAGAAGAAGGAATAGATTTTGATAAAACTTTTGCTCCTGTTGCCAGACTTGAAGCAATAAGAATATTCCTTGCTTATGCTGCCTATAAGCAATTCACAGTCTATCAAATGGATGTGAAAAGTGCCTTCCTAAATGGTCTACTAGAAGAGGAGGTCTATGTGGAGCAACCTCCTGGATTTGAAATCAACAGAGAGAAAGATCAAGTATTCAAACTAAAGAAGGCTCTCTATGGACTCAAACAAGCTCCAAGAGCATGGTATGACACTCTCTCTCAATACTTAGTGAACAACGGTTTCACTAAAGGCAAAGTAGATAAAACTCTGTTCAAAAGTGAAGAAGGTCCACACATACTGTTTGTCCAAATTTATGTGGATGACATAATCTTTGGAAGCTCAAAGCAGGCATTATGTAAGAAATTTTCAACTCTCATGCAAAACAAGTTTGAAATGAGCATGATGGGAGAGTTGAACTATTTCCTAGGACTACAAGTGAAGCAGACTCCACAAGGTATCTTCATCAACCAAGCAAAATACACAAGAGATCTCATGAAGAAATTCAAAATTGAGAACAAGTCTATTGTAAAGATCCCCATGAACACCTCTCAAGGACTGACTCCAGATGAAGATGGCAAAGCCACTGATCCTACACTCTATAGAGGTCTGATTGGCTCTCTGTGATACTTTTGTAATTTCCGTGTGTTTATTTACGTTTTTAGTTAGTTTTGGTTGTTTAGTATTTCGGAAATTACACACTTTCGGTGTAATAGTTTAGTTTGTTAAATTCTTGTAAATTGTTTAGATTAGGTTTATTCTGAGCTTAAACAGGTCCAAGATCAATCAAATGATCATTGGTGAAGGAAGGTGCAAAAGTACAAGACAAAAAGAAGGAAAGTTCCTGATTTTGACCTGTACTCGGTCGAGTACACCTTATACTCGATCGAGTACCAATACTGATTTTCAAGGATTTGATCCGGGAACAAAGGAACATGCAGGAGAAGATTTTCCCACGATCAAGTGTCTATACCCGATCGGGTACACCGACATACTCGATCGGGTATAGCTATAAATTATACCCGAATATCGATCGAGTATGGATCGAATTCGAAGTTTTACACATACTCGATCGAGTATATGTACATACTCGATCGAGTACTCGACCTGCACCTCAAAAAGCCTATAAATACACCTCCTTTCCTTCACTTTTAGATTACCAATTCCTATATACTCTTAAGCTCAGTTTAGAATAGAATTTCTCTATATTTCTTTTAGCATGTTTAGTCTCCAAATGAGGAGCTAAACTTCCATATCTTGGTTTGCTACTTTGAAGCTTAATGAATTTGTAAGTTGTGAGTTATTCTCTTTAATCTTCTTCCTTGAATATTAATTCTTCCTTTAAATACTATTTCTATATCAATGTTGGGGAGTGTTACTAAGATGACAATTAGTTAACATCTTGACATTAGTTATAATAATAGTTATTTCTTTCTCTACGTTAATATCGGGGAGTGTTACTAAGATGACAATTAGTTAACATCTTGATATTAATTATAGTAGGATTCATCTTCTTTAATATTCTTTCTTGAGTATTAATTAATTCCTATTCATATTTCATATTAATATTTTGAACATTACTTAAAGGATCAACTAGTTTTGTTTCATATATTAATTAATACTAGAATCGGTCGATTAATACGCTTGTTATTAATTCGGTCCTTTCACGGTAGTAAACTTGGATTATTAATGCATGCATCTCATGGTCAATAATCCAAGGGGAATTAATTACATTGATTAACCAACAAACCGCTTGAGTTGAGGTTATCAATCTCAATCGTTTTCATCTTAAGTTTATTGCTACTATCAAGTTAATATACGGCGCTTGTTCTATATTGACTCGATAGTAAGTTTTATTAATGAACGCATCTCGTTATTAATAACTACCCTCAATGAACTGGATATACTCCTCGATTGAGTATTCGAGAGGAAGATAGTTAAAGATATAACCGGGATCGACGAACATTTTATTAAGTGGATAAAAGCAAAGCCAAGTCTCCTTCTTATTAATTAAACCACATAACTCGTTCATCTTCGTGTTTAAAGATAATTTAAGTTCATCAACCAAATATAAAACCCCCCTGTTATTACTTATTTATTTATATAAAAAGAAGAGTGTTCCTTTCCCTGTGGATACGAACCTTACTACACTATACTACGTATTAGTGATAGTATTGAATTTATTTTGAGTGCACTCACGACAAAGTGCACGTCAAATTTGGCGCCGTTGCCGGGGAAAGGCAATTTATTTTTCTTTTTATTTTATTTTAAAGAAAAAAAATATATATAGTTGAAGTATAAAGATTTCTATTTCTTCTAATCTTTGTTTGAGTATATGGTAAGAACCCGATCTATAAACGAAATCATCTACCAAACAAACCCCCAAACGGAACAAGCCTTCGAAAGGTTTAGGAATATATTTCCGAATACCTCTTCGGAGGAATCATCAAGTGCTAGTTCTCAATCTAGCGAAACCGAAGAGCCAATCACTATGGCTCTTGAGACGAGAACATTGAGGGAGCTCATAGCTCCGAATCTTAATCAACAACCCCTATGTATCACTTTTCCAACTCTTGATACGGGGGTCACATTTGAGCTAAAATCTGGGCTCATTCATCTCCTTCCAAATTTCCATGGCTTACGAGGGGAGGATCCAAACAAACACCTGTCGGAATTCCACATTGTGTGCACAAGCATGTGCTAAATGGAGAGGGACCACAGGTAACCTCTTGATTACACATGCATTTTATACATTCATAAAAGCAAAACCTCAGGAAATACGAATGACCCGATCGGGTAACCCCATAGGCCCGACCGGGTATGGGCTATGTTGCAGCCCCGAGGTGTGTACTCGTTCGAGCAAGTTTAGCAGGATCCTTCGGTTTTGGCAAATCCAGCCATACTCGACCGAGTATGGTTATATACTCGATCGAGTATTAGTAAATTTCTGTGTTCGAGGCGTGTACTCGATCGAACGTCGTGGGCAGGAAGCTCCTCGTTTAAAACTTTGAGTGATACCCGACCGGGTATGGGCACATACCCGACCGGGTATAGATGTTTGTTCGGGTTCGAGGTGTGTACTCGACCGAGCAGAAATTACAGGGGGTTGTTGTTTAAAAACCTAAATGATACCCGATCGGGTATAGACATATACTCGACCGGGCAGTGTTGACAGGGAGTTTCTTCTTAGGAGCCCGAGTGTTACCCGACCGGGTATGGAGAGTTACCCGACCGGGTATAGGGTAGTCCCAAGCTAGAATATTTTTTCGTTCAGTCCTTTTCAGTCGGGACGTGGAGTAATGTGTCTTACATGACTAATATATGTAGGAACACTAAAGATCAACGGTAGACAAGCGAGAATTCTCATCGACACCGGGACGCAACGTTCATTTATGAGCGAAGCGTTTGCCGAGGGTTTGGACATGCCATTAACGGCGATGACGCAGCCTCTGTTGGTCTCTACACCGTTGGGAGATGATGTAGAGAGGAAGCACTACTATCCTTCATGTAATGTGGAGATAGGGGAGCACCGTCTAATGGGCGACTTTGTACCGTTAGACATGCTTGAGTTCGATGTCATACTCGGCATGGATTGGCTTGAGAAACACCATGCGAAGGTAGATTGCTACACCAAGGTGTTAGAATTAGAAGACGGCGAGGGAAATACTCTATGCTTCGAGGGAGATAGAGGAAAATTCAATCCCTGCATCATATCGGCCTTAAGGGCGAGGCGTCTGATGAACAAAGGCTATCAGGCATATTTAGCCTATGTCATAGGTAAGGAAGGCAAAGGAAAGAGCCTCACAGAGGTGAGGGTGGTGAGTGAGTATCCAGAAGTTTTCCCGGAAGAACTCCCGGGACTCCCACCAGATCGAGAGATTGAGTTCGAGATCGAGGTTGAGCCAGGCACATTCCAGAGTGGAAATGGGAGCACGTGACCATGGATTTTGTGGTAGGACTGCCACGGACCGTGAGGAATTATGATGTTGTATGGGTCGTGGTTGATAGGCTCACGAAGAGTGCACATTTTCTACCTATCAACACTACTTATGCACTTGAGAGGTTAGCCAAATTGTATGTGGATGAGATCGTGAGGCTACATGGGGTTCCTATAACCATTGTGTCCGACAGGGATCCACGATTCACATCACGATTTTGGCCGAAGTTCCAAGAGTCTATGGGAACGAAATTGAAGTTTAGCACTGCTTTTCATCCACAGACGGATGGACAATCCGAGAGAGTCATACAGATTTTAGAGGATATGCTGAGGGCTTGTGCATTGGAGTTCCAAGGAAGTTGGGACAACCATCTAGCACTGGTAGAGTTTGCCTATAACAACAGTTATCAGGCGAGTATTGGCATGCCTCCATACGAGGCATTGTATGGGAGGCGATGTCGTACACCGTTGTGTTGGGACGAGGTTGGCATGGCCAAGCTTGAGAGCACAGAATTGGTGGAGATCACCAAGTCAAAGGTGAAGATGATTCGTGATAGGCTTAAGGCGGCCCAGGATAGACAGAAGAGCTATGCCGATAAACGCCGGAGAGCCTTAGAGTTTAAGGTGGGAGATGAGGTATTCTTGAAGGTTTCACCCTGGAAGGGAATCATCCGATTTCAGAGCCGAGGGAAACTTAACCCACGATATATTGGGCCATTTGTGATTCTTGAGAGAATTGGGGCCGTAGCATACCGATTGCAGTTGACTCCAGAATTGGAGAAGATACATAACGTGTCCCACGTGTCTATGCTGAAGAAATATGTGCCGGATCCGTCTCACGTGTTAGAGAAACCACCCGTGGAAATACGTGAAGATTTGAACTACGCCGTACGACCGGTGAGAATACTTGATAGGCAAGTAAAGAAACTAAGAAGCAAGAAAGTTCCAATGGTGAAAATCCTATGGAAAAGTGACCGAGTTGAAGAAGAAACTTGGGAAACGGAAGCCTTAATGAAGGAACAATATGCATTTCTTTTTGAATAAGCATTTGTGAATTTCGGGGACGAAATTCCCGTTAAGGGGGGGTGAACTTGTGACACCGCACCCGGATGTACTTGAAGTTGAAATTCAATATGTATTTGAATTTTCTAGCGAATGATTTCGTGTAGAAGAATAATGTATTTAATTAATGTGTGATTAATTAAATTATTAATCAGGTCCATAATAATGGGAATGAGCTATCAAATACTTAGTTGGGTATCATAATAATTATAGGAGCCCAATAAAGTGCCAACCAAAGTTGATAAAAATATTTGGACAACCCGAGTGCGATTTTGGCCCAACCTGCCAAAAATAGCGGGAATAATTGGACGGAACTTCCTACACCCACTTGGGATATTTCTTACGTGTGATGTACATTCCAAATGGTGGGAATGAGACAACTTAACATGATAGGGGCGGACTTTTGAGAGAGGGGATGGCTCAAAACAAATGCACACCCCCTATGACCCCATTCATGTATTATTTGTGCTCTTGATTGAGTAGGAGCATCTCCCCTATCCTTAGCATCATTCGAACCACCCAAAACCAAGAGGGAGAGAACTCTAGGAAAGCTTCTCACAAAGCTCAAGGTAGGGGGAAGCAAGAAAGAGGAGAATCCAAGAAGGAGGGGATAGTGTTTGAGGTAAGAACTCAACAACCATTCTTTAACTAGTACTAATCTTGTATGATTTTTAAGAAATCATATTGTGGATTAAACATGGAGTTCTTCATGTTTAAAAGTGTGGAATAATGTTATAAAGTGGTGGTATTTAACTTAGAAGAGTCGTGGAATCGATAGGAGTTGAAATCGCCGGAAACCGCCAAGTATAGGAGGCTGTTCATAGCTGCAGACCACGCAAGCCGCCCACCTTTTGCAAAAGCCGCCCGGCTTTCGTCTGCTGGTTGGATTTTCCACTTCTAATCGGCTTAGAACGGGGATTGATCGGAGGGCTTAACAAAGGCAACTATTTAAGCACTTCATAAGGTGAGGATGGCTGACTATATTGCTTATAATCTTGGGGTTAATTTCATAAGATTACCTAAAGTAATTAAATGTGATTTTCATGGATTATTAATGGTTAATAATGCCTAAATGAAAATATCATTGTTTGTGAATAGAAGATGCATAACATACAAATTTATGAGAAAATTGTGTATGATGATGCATAATAAATGTGAAGGTATAATGATGGTATAAACCATGAATTTTTGTGATAAAATATACTTTTACTTCATGTATAGAAATCATGAATGGATAAAAGTGATATTTTTTATATTGAGATTAAATCGTATACGGATTTGAAAATCCATAGGAATG